CACAATTTTCATCTCATTATCGTGGAAAATACGCGACTTATCTATCGATCCAAGTAAAATAATAATGAACGGAAGTAATATTCCTACAGGGTGTCTGGTATCTCACGAAAAAGGAGCCACCTGGAATATCTGGCGAACGGGTTGGAATTTCGAAAAACGGTAAAAGACGTGTTCGTTTATATCGCGGGGGACACCTTTTGACGTATTTTAAATTTTCTCCAACTGCGGGAGGGGTGCAAGGCGAGGGTGCTCCTCCCGTAAATCGAACTTTTCAAAAGGCACTTCGATATTTTTATTTCAGAAATCGATTCTACGCAAAAAAACAAGTCACCCTGTCCAAACCGGATGAAAATCGGACAATTTTTTAACGATTGGCAGAAGTTGGAACATTTTTCTAATGCTCTTTTCAAAAAATCCCCACACCGAATAGGATTGCTGTATCAAACCAAACTCTCCGCCGAAAAAACTCTTAAGCAGTGCCCTTTTCATAAAAGGCAAAAATCCGCTGTACTCGAAAACTGGAGCACGCGGAGCCCTTTTCCTCGACATTAAGATGCGTTTTACCGAACATTCCCGAGGGGCGCTCATCGGGAGGGTGTAGTAAGTTTTGGACACGAATCAGCATTCTTTATTCTGAAGCATAAGAAACCAAATCCATGGAGAAACAGCTAAATAGAAAAATAAATGGATTACCTTCTTTCAGGTGCGTGTCAATGATTTAAGCCGCAGCTGATGTTTTCATGAAAGTTTAAAATCAGTTGTTACTCATCAGAACATTTATTTTCAAAAAGGAGAAGTTTAAAATGCCCGTTTATTCTTCAACGGTCATTCAAAACCAACTCCAGAAAATTGTCACGCACCGCGGAAAAACAGCGTTCTTAAGAACTTCAAGGTCCGGCTCAAAATTATTGAAACCCACCTGAAAGAAGGTAATCCATTTATTTTTCTATTTATCAGTTTCTCCATGGATTTGGTTTCTTATGCTTCAGAATAAAGAATTCTGATTCGTGTCCAGAACTTACTACTCCCTCCCGATGAGCGCCCCTCAGAAATGTTCGGAAAAACGCATCTTAATGTTGAAGAAAAGGGCTCCGCGTGCTCCACTTTTCGGGTACAGCAGATTTTGTTCTTTTTTTATCGAAAGGGCACTGCTTAAGAGTTTTTTTGGCGGAGAGTTTGGTTTGATACGGCAATCCCATTCGGCGCACTATGGTCTGGGAGCGCCAAATTGTGGCCATAAATGAGGAAATGGTCAGATTAAAATGCAACTTAGGGTACCAATGTTTTTTGGGTCGCTAAATTCAAATTTGACCTCAGATTTACAAAATTATCAAATCCAAGATGGCGGCAGACCCGTAAAACTTAAAATTTTGAAACAAATTCTAACTCTGATTTGGATGCCATATTAAATGACAGTTTGGCATAGGCGTAGCTAGGTCATTTTGATGGGGGAGGGGGCCTGGCCCCCCACCACTGGGGGGGTATGGAATATCCCCCAGCTCAATGGGGGGTCCGGGGGGCCTCCCCGGAAACCTTTGAAATGTTAACTCTATTGGAGCGCATTTCGAGGCAGTTGTGGCGCTAATCTTCCTTCAATTTCTGCCTAAAAATCACCCAGTTTTAAGCATTTTAAGGTTAAAATACTTTGAAATTGTTGCATTCAACAGTTTATACTATATAAAGGCATTTGTTAGGCATGGTTGACTAACATACTGAATACATAATAACATACTACATGTTTACTAATTGCCGAAATATTTACTTTCTATCTAAGACGCATGAAAAATGCAAAAATTAAAAGGTAAAGAAGATAAAGAAAACACTGTTTGTAATGCCTCTTTTGATGGTATCAGCTTGCTGCGTGCAGTAAAATGAGTAAACTAACAATGTGTTAAGTTCAGTTAGGTCACGCAACTAAACTAACCTCCCGGAGAAACGAGAAATATAGCCAGATTTGAAGGCGTTCTAAGCGTTCGGTTGGGTCACGCAACTAAACTAACCTCCCGGCTGCGTTCGGTTGGGTCATGCAACTAAACTAACCTTCCGGCAAAGCGGGAGGTATCGCTAGATTTGAAGGCGTTCTAAACGTTCGGTTGGGTCACGCAACTAAACTAACCTCTCGGCAAAGCGGGAAGTATCGCTAGATTTGAAGGCGTTCTAAACGTTCGGTTGGGTCACGCAACTAAACTAACCTCTCGGCAAAGCGGGAAGTATCGCCGGATTTGAAGGCGTTCTAAACGTTCGGTTGGGTCACGCAACTAAACTAACCTCTCGGCAAAGCGGGAAGTATCGCCAGATTTGAAGGCGTTCTAAACGTTCGGCTGGGTCACGCAACTAAACTAACCTCTCCGCAAACCGGGAAGTATCACCAGATTTGAAGGCGGTCTTAACGTTCGGTTGGGTCACGCAACTAAACTACCCTCCCGATAAAGCGGGATGTACAACCAGTATTTGGGCCGAGCTTAACAGAAAGGAGCCAAGCCACATCAGCTATTGCCAAGTTTAACTGGGCAATTAATTTTTTTACGAGAGAACGTTCGTTCGGATTTCTTTGAAAATTTTAAGGAATTTGCTTCGTACCATGGAAAATTTTCACTGAAATTTACACAAAAATCCTTACATTCATGTAAAAAATTAAATCGCCCAATTAAATTTGGCAATAGCTGATGTGGCTTGGTTCCTTTCTGTTTAACGCGGTCCATTTGAAGGTTCTCCCAGCGTTCACAAACTAACAGTTAACTAAACGTTCACTAAAACTTGCCAGGCTCCAAAAGATTTTCAGGCAGAACTAACATTTATTTCAGTCATAAAATAAGATTAAGCAGCCGACTGCGGTGTTCGATTGGGTCACGCAACTAGACTAACCTCCCGGCAAAGCGGGGGGTATCGCCAGATTTGAAGGCGTTCTAAGAGTTCGGTTGGGTCACGCAACTAAACTACCCTCTCGGCAAAGCGGGATGTATCGCCAGATTTGAAGGCGTTCTAAGCGTTCAGTTGGGTCACGCAACTAAACTACCCTCCCGATAAAGCGGGAAGTATAGCCAGTATTTGAAGGCTCTCCCGGCGTTCACTAAAACTTGCCAGGTTCCAGAAGATTTTCAGGCAGAACTAACATTTATTTCAGTCATATAAGATTAAGCAGACGACTGCGATGTCAGCCTTATAAATGCATTATCTTTTACACCAAGGAACTAAAAGTTCTGGTTCATCCAAAAAAAAGCACCTATCTGCACCTATCCATCCCCTCTGCAAGAGACTAGTTTGGTCGTTTGAGCGTCGGCAGACTACACTTTGCTAGCACTACAACCATTACACCACAGGAAGGCGAGTTGGTAAAAGTTAAGGTGAAGGCCATTTTTTGGCTAAATTAGGACAAAACTTTGAAGTCTCGTGGTGGTCATTAATCTTAATACTAAAAACGATTAAACTATCAAAAAGTGCTCCCTTTGAGCTTTCTGTTCCATATTTGATCGAGGATCCATGCCGACTTTTAACATAACAGCACAAGGTAGTATGTGGTGATGTTCACCTCGAATTCTCACATTTTTTCATTTACCTATCAGAGTATGTGAAGTTGGCCACCATATATCAGATCTTAAAAACACTTTAAAAAAATTCGATAGGCCATTTCACATTTGCCAAGGGATGTAGATAAGGGCTGCATGCTAGGTTGCCAGATGTTTGCACTTTCAAAAATCGGATTTTTGGCCACGATTTGGCGCTCTCAAACCATAGTGCGGCGTGGGGATTTTTTTAAAAGAGTATTAGAAAAATGGTTTATCCTCTGCCAATCGCTGAAAAATTGTCCGATTTACATCCGGTTTGGACAGGGTGCCTTGTTCTTTTGCGTAGAATCGATTTCTGAAATAAAAATATCGAAGTGCCTTTTGAAAAGTTCGATTTACGGGAGGAGCACCCTCGCCTTGCGCCCCTCCCGCAGTTGGGGAAAATTTAAAATACGTCAAAAGGTGTCCCCCGCGATATAAACGAACACGTCTTTTACCGTTTTTCGAAATTCCAACCCGTTCGCCAGATATTCCAGGTGGCTCCTTTTTCGTGAGACACCCTGTATGATAGGCGAGTATCTATAATCCCCCTTCAATTTTGTGTGAAACCACATACCTACTCCGGTGCTCGAATAGTTGCTTAGTTGCTTCCGCGTGTGAAGCTGTGAGAAACCATGCAATTTTCATCATTCAGTGAAAAATTACGCTTTCCTCACCTGAACATCGCGGCACGTACGCAAATTTTCCATTTCCAATGTTTGAATCAGATCATGAAGTTCACAAAATGTCCATCTTAAAATGGTGGAAAATAAAAGAGTCTTCTATAGATGCGAGCATAGTATTCATAATCGTCAGTAACTTGAGATGGGCAAAAAGCTAAGTTTTTCATTGCATTTCACGTGATTACCACATACCTACTTCGGAGTTTGAAAAACTATTAGATCCCCAATACGGGAAGAAAATGTGATCCGGCGCGGCGAGTTTCAGATATGTTTAGGTCGCAGGCAAATAGTAAAATCAGGCATTTTGTCAAATGCCTAGGAATATAGTTAAATTCTGACGGTCACAAAATTTTGTGAATTTATGGCGGAGAGCTCACGAGTTCTCAATATTTTAGGAAAAATAACTCATCAAAACTACGAACTCTTTTTGTCTATTCCTCTTCAATTGCTTTCTCATATTTTTAAATGTTGAAATTCTAAAAATTCTGTCACATGACATGCTAGAAATTGCAAGATATGAGTGTCTGCTCAGGAGCTAAAAATCATTTAAAATACTATTGTGTGATGCAAATTTTTACTGAGAATTTATTCTTACGGGAACGATTACATGTTTTGTCTAAAATTAGGAAAAGAATCGGAATTTCAATCTCAGTTAGAATATTTAACCATTTGCTGAGGCATTTGAAAAAATGGCTGATTTTACTATTTGCCTGCGACATTTACATTCTATCTTTTAAATTTCGTATAAAGAGTTCAGACATGATATACATACCGATTAGCAGCTTACAGCACACACGACGCCATTCTAGAAAAAAGAAAATAAAAAAATTGTTAGGTTTTTCCTTGGCATAAAATAAATGGAGACTACGAACAATCAAACTAAGCATCAGGGTGTCTAGCAATTTTCACAGAAAAAAAGAAAAAAAAAAAACTTTTCTGACATTTCCTTGATTTCCCCAACAAAAACGGTCAAGAAACTAGAAAGAGAACTTAAAATCCCCTATAGGAAAAATATTCCTAATATTGCGACACGGTTGGACTGAATGTATGTAAGTGAGAATGTGTTCATGTTTCAGGAATATATGTAACAAATAGAGAAACATAGATAGTGCCTTAACTTATGCGAGATATTTTTGCATCATTTTTAAAATTTATAAGACATCATCAGAAATTCGGGTAAAAATTTTGATAGAAATTTCCGCTGGAGTAAAATTCGCGAAACACTTTCCGAAAAAAATCGTGTTTTCCGATTTCCCTGGCGTTTTCCCTGATTTTCCTGACAAACAAAAAAAATTCCCTGACATGTCCCGGTTTTTCCGGTCGCTAGACACCCTGTTAAGGGACATAACCTTAGAATAGACAACGAGGAAGATATAAATGGCCGAACAAATTAACGAAGAGACAGTTTCGAGCAATGGTGTAGTGAGGAGAGAGCAAAGATTTTACCAGGAACTTTCGTTACGTAATCCTCTTCATTATTCCTGCGGAGAAATTCTATCGACGGTGCCAAAAACTTCGAGGGGAAAAAGGCTCTGTTTTGCTCAGAAAATTAGGAAAACTGACTTGCTCAGGTGGGGAGAAGATAAGAGTGCGCAGTGGCGTGGCGTGCTTTGCGTAATATCAATTGATCTGCCATTTAAACCTATGGAAAATGATCGATTAACAGGGTGTTCGCAACGAACGCCTCAATAATCGATTCTTTACCATAGCTTCAAATGGAGAAATATCGATAATCGACACTTCGCCACTGGATTGTAGAGATCGGGAGCAGACTAATCGCTGAAGCTAACATAACCGATCCCATGAACGAAAAACATGGAAAAAAAACACATTGGATCCAGAGTCCAGACTCTTGAAAACATTGACAAGAAAAAATACTCTTGATTCAATCGGATTTTTGCTTGAATCAAAACGAAATCCACTTAAATTAAGAGGCTTGGTTCTTGATTTAAGCTAGATTCTGATTGAATCAAGCGTACTTTTTCTTGTCGATGTTATTAAGAGTATGGACTCCAGATCCAAGGTGTTCTTTTTTCCAGTGACGTATTTCGAAAGAGAAAGACAATATCCGATCCAGTAGGTTTCTGAGATTTTTATGCAGCACTTGGAAAATTGGTGACCCTCTTTCGATGATTTTAAAGAAAAGAAATCTTGATTATTATCATTCGTTTTTCGAGAGTTGAGGTGGGGGGAGGGGGGGGGGTTGAGTGTTTAGGTGAGGGGCCGCGGAATAATTTGGGCTTTTACCAATAAATCTCTAATTTCCGTACTTTATTGAGAATTTCGATTTCTCCCATCAAGCACTGGAAAAAAAAAGTAGCTTGGATCTAGAGTCCAGACTCTTAAAAAACATTGACAAGAAAAAATACTCTTGATTCAGTCGGATTTTTGCCTCGATCAAGAACCAAGCCTCTTAATCTAAGCGGATTTCCTATTGATTCAAGCAAAAATCCGATTGAATCAAGAGTATTTTTTCTTGTCATTGTTTTCAAGAGTCGCGACTCTAGATCCGAGCGACTTTTTTCTCCAGTGAGTCCAATTGCTGCCCAAGCAACGACGCACACTGGACAGAGTCAGTAGAAGTCGGACATAATCTGGTAACTTTGAAAGCTTGGTTTTCAAAAGTATGAAACAAAAAAGCTCGAGAGTGTTTCCATCGGTTTCTTCGTGAAACTTTCACTGTGAGACGTCTCTCGAAATTGAATTTGTGATGAATTAAAAATCAAAAGAAATAGCCAAAAATTTCATGTCAGACTTTTTTTTTGACTCGATCCACTGTGCGACGGCTGTATCTTCTTTGTTTTTTTTTTTTTTTAATTTTGATACATATCTTGGGAGCAAAAAGTAAGGCGCCTCAGAGGGATACAAGAGAGCCCTGCAGACCGATTAAGTATTGCAATTTGATGTAAATGTAATGTAATGTACGTATGTGTATGTGTAAATTGAAAGAAAATAATGGAAAAACTATTAGATACGTACCAGAAGAGGGTTATCCGATTGCCCGACGCCAAGCTGAAAGCACCCACAACTTCATCACTGAAACCGCACTTTACACTGAAAAAATTAGCCGATATTAAGTATGTGAAAAAATTACAGATTCACCAGGTTCTGAATTATGCGTGGTGAACTAACTTAAATTCTGCCCAAATAAGGTGTTTACATGTTATATCGTGCAATGAAGACAGGAGAGGCAAACCATGAAAATAAAATGATTAGGTACAATGATAGTTTAAGGCTTATAGAACGAAACCAGAGAAATAAAAATCATGATGCATGTCTTAAGAGCATGCCGAGCATGTTATGCATCATTCCATTATGATGATGTCAATTTGTGCGGCAAATGCAATATTTTTCATCAATTATTGTGTTTGTTTCAATAAATTTGGTTACTTGGAATCATGAGAAAGTAACGATGACTTTGCTTTTGTAGAAATGATAAAACATAACTTGATACATAATTAATTAATCTTAAATCATTACGAGTCATGACTTATGAGTCATGAAAAGTCTGACGATGAGTCAGGGCACATCACTAAGTGCCATGAGTCATGAAAAGTCTGACGATGAGTCAGGGCACATCACTAAGTGCCGTCACTTGAGGCAATTTTCTTAAGACGCTAATTTTCGACGACAGAAAAATCATATAAAAACAAGAAAGCTCATTACTAAAATCTACTAAAATCAAGCTTAACTAAAATCTCTGATGAAACGGCCGGAAACCTACAATTTAGAAGTTCTTGGTTGGAATTACATATTTTTCGAAGTCTTTGATCGATCACTAAGAATGTGACAAATATTTCGTGGAATATTACTAAGTGCACGATAAAATTTGCTGAAAAAAGGCGGAGTTCATCAGGGCGCATCGCTAAGTGCCGTCACTTGAGGCAATTTTCTTAAGACGCTAATTTTCGACGACAGAAAAATCATATAAAAACAAGAAAACTCATATATAATAACATATCGCTACGGATTTTCTTTCCATTCCTCGAAAATGGATGAGAAAGTGAATAGATAGATAGATACCTAATAAATGAAGAAAATTACGAAGAACGAAGCTTATTAGGCCATTTAAAATTCTCTCAGTCAACACTGGAAAAAAATTGGCTTGGATCTTGAGTCCTGACTCTTGAAAACAATGACAAGAAAAAATACTCTTTGATTCAATCGGATTTTTGCTTGAATCAAAAAGAAAACCGGTTAAATTAAGAGGCTTGGTTCTCGATTTAATCGAGAGTACTTTTTTTTGTCAATGATTTTAAGAGTCTGGACTACAGATCCAAGCTACTTTTTTCTCTCGATGTTCAAGGTTAATCAAGATATGCAAGATAAGGAGGTGCATTAACTAATATCAAAGGCACACCACATATTTTCTTAAAGCTTACAGATAGGTGTATAAAAATATCAACAGTCTGGCATAATAAGCATTTTTTTTAACTTTACTCCCTATTTTTTTGTAAAAAAGGTTCTGAATAGTTGCACGGTGGTGAATCTTAGTAACTATCGGTGATGAATGAATAGTATTGAAATCAGGGCTACCGATACACTTACTCGCGTTTCGCGAACTTTCCTCTCACCAGCAAATACCTGTTCCAAATTGTCCTCACTTACAACTCATCGTCCTCGATTTTTATCATTTCTACGCACCTTTCTCGGTTTTACTCACTCTTGCTCACTGTTTCTCAACTTAACTCACTCTTGCTCGCTGTTTCTCTACTTAACTCACTCTTTACTCACTGTTTATCAACTTAACTCACTCTTTACTCACTGTTTCTCAACTCGCACTTTACTCACCGTTTCTCAACTTAACTCACTTTTTACTCACTGTTAAATAACTTAGCTTACTCTTCACTCTCTGTTCCTTAACTTTACTCACATTGTACTCACCGTTCTCGACTTTACTCTCTCTTTGCTCATTATCCTCAATTTGACTCGCAGATCACTCGTAAAAATCGCAAGAGAAACTAGTTCTCACAGAATAATGCATCATTATCGATCATCATCATTCTATCGATCGCTTCAACACTCTTCGAGACACTGATGGAAAGTTTCACTCGCCGATACTCAAATTAAGATAAGTAACTAAATTAAAGTATATCCAATACACCGGCAGAGTGGCTCTGAAAGAATCTGAAGCTTAAAAAATTTAAAAATGTAAACTGAAATAATTCAGTAACAAATAAAATAAAAAACTTAGGTAGCAAATTTTAACCAATGAACATTAAAATAACAAATAAAATAACCTGGAAAATAAAATTATCATAAGTACAGATAAAAGAGGTAGGACAGGACTACCGTGCTGAGGGAGAACGCCGTATGAACCTTCAGACGTTGCCAAATTTCCTTCGACAAATCACGAACTTTCAGGAAAATTTGTAAATACTCATCTTTCACTTTTTCATAGCATTTTGATGCTTATTTGATCTAAAAGCTCTGAAAACTTCAAGGAAAAATATTCAAAACTTTCTTGAAAAATAAATACTTTCCGAGAGGAAATAAGGCGACATGCGAATGCTCATACGGCGTTTTTCCTTAGCACAGGAGAGTTGGGCGTTGTTCTTGTTGCTGCTTCTTCCGGTCCTTCTTCTTCTACCGCTGTTTTCCTTTTTCCGTCTGCGCCTCTGCTTCTTCCTTCTACGTCTTCCTCCACATATTCTGTTTTTTGCCTGCTGTTTCTTTTGCTGCTGCTTCCTCTCCTGCAGCTCTTGATGTTTCTTTTTCTCCTGTATCTTCAATTATTGCTGTTTTCTCTTACTCCTTTTACGTGAGTAGCGTTTTGAAGGACATGAAGATTTTACTTTTCTAGTGCAAGAAAAGGAACTGTGAGCCCCGCACTCTCCACCTTATTAATGGACTGCATTTTGCAATTTGGAACTATAAATTCTGGCTCTGCTGGAAAAACACCTATGTGCATAGGGAAACTAATGGCACATACGTTGTTTTTAAACCAGGCTAGAATCTATAGGTCCAAATTGCAAAATGTAGTCAATTTGTGATCCTCTGAGAAGCAGGATGATGGCGATGATTGACCTTGCGGCCGGAGATCCATGCGAGTACTTCCATCATTGTTGATAAGAGATTCCGTAAAGAAGGCAAGTTTGATGAGCGGAATGAATTGTGACGATGTAAATGCTGACGCATCAATCTGCCGAAGCTCCGGTAAAGAGGTCATTCCCAGAATGGAGCAAGTTGTGGGGCTGGTGTGACACTATAGTGCTGTTGTTAAAATGAGGGACAGGATGGAAGGATACAGAACAGCTTTGAGTTTTGTTAAATAGGTTACTTACGGGTTATGTCGACAACTTCATCTACACTGAGAAAAAACTATGGCTTATAAACCTATTAGAGGTAAATATGGAACACCACTAATAGTAGTACCTCTACATATAATAATAGCACATATACCTTAGTTATGGTCTATGTACCTTAATTAGGTACAGAGACCTTAGTATGGTTCACAGACCGAGAATCATTAGTTTATTTACGACTATTATAGGTGTTCCATATTTACCACTAATAGGTTTATAAACCATAGCTTTTTCTCAGTGTAGTACATGCGGGAAATTCGGATGAATGGGCAAGTTAATGAGACGCGGAATAGAGGAAGAGAAGATGACAAGGAGAGAAAGAGAGAGAATCGAAGAAAAAGAACTTTTCTACAATAAGAGTAAGTGAATGTCTCACCTCCTCCGGTCAGTCGGTCGGTCCGTCGATCGATCAGACAGTCGGACAGTCGGTCCGTCAGTCCGTCGATCAGTCAGTCAGTCCGTGAGTCGGTCGGTCAGTTAGTCAAACAGTTCGTTAGTCGGTCGGTCGGTCGGTCGGTCGGTCAGTCGGTCGGTCGGTCAGTCACTCGGTCGGTCAGTCACTCGGTCAGTCAGTCGGTCAGTCGGTCAGTCAGTCGGGCAGTCAGTCAGTCGGTCAGTCGGTCAGTCGGGCAATCACTCGGTCAGTCACTCGGTCAGTCACTCGGTCAGTCAGTCGGTCAGTCAGTCATTCGGTCAGTCATTCGGTCAGTCATTCGGTCAGTCATTCAATCAGTCATTCGATCAGTCATTCGGTTAGTCTTTCGGCCAGTCAGTCGGCCACGGTAAAAAAACAAGTTTGCCCCTGAAACCGAAGGGGCGGTAAAAAGGCATCACCTAACTCTTTTCATGTCTCATAACTGCCAAAACGGCAGTTACAAGACACGAAAATGGCTAGATGGTACCACTTACCCGCCGACTCGCGCTGCAGAGGTGGACTTGTTTTTCCCGCAGCAGGTAACCATGCCCTGGTAAAAGCTGCAATAGTGATTGTTCCGAATGCGTACGATCAGGACAATTGCATGATCGTCAAACATGGGCACGCACCCACGTTTGATGACGACACGATCATCCTGAATGTACACATACTCAGAGCACTCACGATCACTCCTTTTACCGAGGCAAACGCGAGGTAATTCAAGGTCGCTGACCACAGATCATAAGGTCACCCATCGCCATCCACGGGCATGGCCTCTGGTCGGGGCGGAGTCTGCGGATCCCCCCTACTAGTGCTCCCCACACGGATCCGAAGTCCGGCGCTCGGGCGACGACCGAACGCCGAACGGTAAGGTCCAGTTACACGATCAAATTGAGCCATCAAAATGGGCCTCCCATTGGTCGCATTAGAATGCGACCAATGAGAGGCCCAATTTGATGTCTCAATTTGATCGTGTAACTGGACCTGTCGTTCGGCGGGTCGTCCACCCGATCGTCGGACGGACCGTCGTGGGGGCACTTTTACCTGAACTGACGGCGGTTCTGCCGCGCCGGGCGCCACGGCTGTGAATGCAAGTCGTTGCCGAAACGGAACTTCCGGGACCTCCTGAAGCCCGTGTCACACTCACAGTGGGGGCGTCGATGCCTCCATCCAACAGGGTACGTGCCGTCAACCCATGGGGCACGTACCCTGTTACACGGATAGACGCATCGAAGCCCTTACTGTGAAGGTGAAACGGGCTCTTACGCCGATTTCGCACGACGCAAATGGGCAGTGTCGTGGCGTGCTTTGCGATGTATCGATTGATATGCCAT